CAAACCAGATGACATTCGAACTGAATGGTCAGCAACACATCAAATGCTTCAAAGCTAGAATTACGATTAAAGTTTGATAATGGTTGTAATGGGCGTGCGTCGCGCAGTGGTCAGAGGCGCCCTGTAACACACACACAGATTCGATCCCCGCGCCCATGGCCCACCAAGCCTTCTATCCCCCCGGTGTCGGCAAATCGGTACCAGACTTGACTGTCTGGGAGGATAGCAGCACTGGCTCGATATATCGGTAGGCCACCATGAATCATTGTAAAAGCCAGATATGCACTCAATCACCTCCAACAATACTTAATGAAGTCGAATGCATGGCGCATCCCTCAGGAATTGACCAATGCCGAGAGCTTTATCCTTTTCTTTAATGGTTGTAAATGATGGCGTTGCAGTCAATATTTACTTTTGGGACTGCTATAGACTTTTCTACGCACTCATTTTGACAAAGTGTACGCCTAAGCCATGCGAATGAAGCAACGAGTAGTAGAAAACCCGACCTTACTCCACAAGATCATCGAGGACGATGTTCGAGGCGTCTCAAGACGTCTTGAGAACACTTCTAAGCCAGAAAGAACTTTTCTTCACGACATGTGATGCAAAGCTAAGTCTTACAGCCAATCTTACAAAGAACGAAAAAGCTATTGACGAGAGGAAACGTCTCCACCCTGATAACTACAAGCAATTGATAGGACCAGAAGGATTTCAAAATCGGTCGCAGGACAGCGGTTAGATGAAACCCATGAGTAGTTACTTGCAAATATATAGGACATTAAACAAAAGTGTGAATTCCTTCTTTGAAAAGTTTACACGAGGTTGATAATGATATTTATCTATTTACGGCTAACGCTAACGGTCCATGCTTGTTGTTCGTCTCGACGTTGCAGCTTCGCCTTCGTGTCGAGTCAGGTCTTCCTCAGTGAGCCATCTTCTCGAATGAAGCATCCTCACTCAGTGATGCCCTTTTATACACGATGCTAATGGTGGATATAATGATAATGTCCGGTGGTAACAACTTGTATTTCTTCCGGACATACATCATTGCGCACATCGTGCAGTAGTCGGTGTTTTTATCAGATAGCACAAAGCGTAGTAATATTTCGAAACCGACTTTCCTTGAACCTCGGTATCACTAATCAATATGTATTCTTTCTTTGATGAGCTTACACGAGGTTGATAGAGGAAGACGAAGACGTCGAAACGTTAGCCGAAAATAAATAAATATCATTATCAACCCCGTGTAAGCTCATCAAAGAAATACATATTGATTAGTGATACCGAGGTTCAAGGAAAGTCGGTTTCGAAATATAAGTGTGAATATCCATCAAGCATGCTGATATTCTAAACATACTACACGCGGCTACCAAAATGTGTACCGTTGAAGTAGGTTGTAACAAAAGACGTCCGACCCAGCTATTATCAATATTTATGAACAAGCATGGTATTGTCTTAAAACCAACTTTCGCTAAACCTCGGTAACAATAATCAGTAATTTTTCTACATGACTGAGCTCACGTTGGCACAAAGGTTTTATTTGGATAACGCTTCGGCGACTTCGCCTACCTCAAAGTCGCGCTGATCTTAGTCGATGGTCTAGAGATTGGTACTGATGAATAACATTATAACAAAAAACACAGCAGTGATATATAGAAGCACTAGTGGAAGTTTTAATGACCACATGATGCTGGAGTATCAAAGAGGACGAACACGGTGCACAATTAGGCATCTAGTTAGAGTAATGGATGTGGTTAAAAGTCGCGTAATGTGCCTAAATCCCATTCAAATTAAGATGATGAAAAGTGTCATGGTGACCCGGCTTCGCAAACATGAACTTGGAAATCACGACAGTAGCCAAAAGACAATAATCCGTCAACTTGCGAATACTAACGATCTGAATGAGCTATGAATAAATGCATTACCTTATAGTAACTTACACACGGATCTCTCTCCCTCATTAAAGGATTTCATGCCGGTTAATGGCGAGCCAACGTGGCGCGTCTCCAGGTGGCAATTAGGGGCAACCTTTGCTTCCTCAGTCGCAGGTGTTTCCAGGGGACGGACTCCGTTTCCGCGGCGCCGATCTAGCACTTACATCTTGTATTTGCAAGGACTTATCCAGGTCTCGACAGGATAAAAACTGTGCACAAGAACCTTCCGCCAGTCCTCGTAAACACGCTGTCTCGGTTTTTCACACGCTACCTGTCTGAATGCAAGACTTCTGCTTGCTCAATGGAAGACCAGCATAACCGTGCTATTATTCAAGAAGGGTGACTTCCACGATATGGACAACTATTGCCTAATCTGCTTACTGTCTGTCGTCTACAAACTTTCACTCGTGTGATCCTAAACAGGACTGACAGAACACGACAAAGGACAGCTATGTGAGCAGGCAGGGTTTCGAAAAGGGTTCGGTACGATGGACCACATCTACACGACAAGACTCATTGAAGTATCGCGAGAGTCAAAAGACCACTCTGCCTCACTTTAATCGATTTAAGGTAGGCTTTTGATTCAGTTGAGATAGATGCAGTCATGGAAACCCTGGAGAATCTGGTAGTCTCTACTCAGTGTACGAAGAGTCGTGGTGAATTGCACCAAAATTTCACGACCAAGATACCGCGATTCTACAACGATATTAACATCGACGTGAAAACGAGGGTTGGACGAGGCGATACCATCTTGTCAAAACAATTTCCCGCCACCCTCGAGCATGCGAACATTAGAATAAGACAACGTGGAAGTGAAAAACGATGTTCGCAATCATACCATCTTCGCTTTGCTAACGATATTGTTCTTATGACAATGAAAAATAGCTAAGCGGAACTAATGCTGGCCAACTTTGATAACACTTGTGGAAAGATAGGTCTACGACTAAGCCTCACAAAAACAATGTTAATGAACAAGTTGGTTGTGTACGCCCTATTCACGCTCAACGGTACGAACAGTTCTGCATGTTCCAGCTACGTCAATCTAGGTCGCGAAATCAATAGGATGAACCGAGAAGCTCCAGAATTGAGCCGGAGGAAGCAAGAGGCTTGGGGAGGTTTCAAGAGCACAGAGGATGTAGCGAAGATAGCAAAGAACACCCGACTCAATGTCCACCTTTTCGACTCCACGTGTCTTCCTGCCTTAACGTATACATCAGAAACCTCACCGCTACATAACCAGGACGGAAGACCACTCAGCGCTATTGAACGCGCAGTCGAAAGAACTAGGCTAGGAGCATCCCGTGTCACGCAAGTGAAGGAAGGGATCCATACCTCCAACTTATGTCAGCGATAAAAAATCAAAGCCGCCGTTCTATACGCTAGAATGTCGAAGATAAAGTATGCTAGACACATAATGCGTACAAACGACAACCAATGGACAAGTGCCGTTACTGACTGGATTCATCAGGTTGTCAAACGTACTGCAAGAAGAGCACCGACCCGATGGTGAGAGCTCTTCACGAAAACACTAGAAGATAAATATGGTGCTTAACGATTCCCTAGAGTGATCAGAATCCACTGGGCCACTCTTGCACGTGACAGAGAAGTGTGGAAGATTTACTGGTGCACGCTGTACTCACTCGACGACCAAAGTGACGACAAGTGATGCAGGTAATAGCAGCTCGAGGCAAGATTGTTGCTGAAATCTATTGTGGCCAACGTTTCGTTGCCATCACTTATTTGAAGTAGCAAGCAAGAAATTGATTCAAGGGTCCACACCGGTTACTCTTTACGATGTCTGTGTATTCGCCGTCTATTTGAGCTTAACAGCTTGAAGTGGAGCATTGTATGAATGAATTCAGCTAACAAAGCAATGCCGCCCGATGCAGGAGTCTTTCAGCGATTCCCACTCACTAATTCTGGTAGTAATTCCCACAACCGACTTCCTCTCATTCTATTATTTTCTATCTATTTTATTCTATTCTACTATTATTATTTGCTCAACAAGAATATCGAGAACTGTTGTCTGACAAACCAAATTGTAAGGACTTCCGAAACCTTAACAACAAGGAGCGTTAAAACGATATCGTTAAAACGCTGCTTGTCAAAAAGTTGAAATGCTACAGGTTTTCTTTCTGAACAAGGATTATTTCTAACAAGATTAACGCAAGAAGCATATGAAATTAAAACCATCTTACTGCATCCGAAGACTGAGAGAGTTCAGCTGGCTAATGGCCAAAGGCAAATTGGGCTTCTTCAGTAGCTTCTTGTTCAATCCATCCAATATACATCGCATCTCATTCCAGGAGTTGATAGAGGCTGCCATCTCCTACAGACAAACCAGCACTATCAAAACAAAGTCAAAAGCGTAGAACTGGAAAACATAAACGATTTCCAACGGCTTTACGCTCGTTTAAGTGTAGTTACGTCCAACATAACCAAAATGACGACAAAAGAGAAAAACGTCACCAGAACGACTTCAGTCGTCCCTAGTGTGATGCATACAAGCCACCTCATTTCGTTAGTTTAGCTCTTCATCTGAATTAGTCTTTCTTAGATAGTTGCAGTCACAAGTTTATTTATTTTCGCATTAGTTGCTTAAAGTTCGGGAAGTGTTGGAGTCTTTTGCGTCTTTGCCGTTACTTCATTAGAACCTTGCGGATTATCAACTCTCAAGGTCTTTACTCTCTTGTTTTGTTTTCTGTACTTTCCGATTCTAGGCCACAACCTTGGAGGTGGTTTGTCGCTTACTGATCTCTCCATTTTATATGGGTTGTGCTTCGAGGTTCAATAACATCTACTGTGGTCGACTTCAACATGTATCAGCAGTAGGCATTTGTGATCACATTTACTTCAATAAAGGAAATTACCGCCACTTTCAATTTAGAGTGTTTATTATCTTAAGATTGCTTGGAATAGTTCACGCTGATTCATCCGGGAATCAGGCTTCTGGATCCGGGCAATTTTCGGACGAATTGTCTGCTTCATCTCGAAAACAAGTGAGAAAAGAAATAGGTTCTGTGATACAAGAAGTTTAGTACGGAATGCTTCCAACAGTTTTGAAAATTGCGTTGTTTAGTAGTTGACGATGTGATCGATCCTCAGGAGTTCAGTGTGAATGTTAAGCATGTGAAGCCACTGTTGCCTTCTGGAAAGCATACCCATACGCCGCTAATCCAGGTTTGCGATTCCTTCACGCCTTGTGGGTTTTTCTTTTGTGATAGGACTTTTCCGGTTTGATCAGCAAATGGTCTTGCCCAGCTCTCATTGCAGGTATTCACGACTTCCCATCTTCACAGTAATCGTTCCACCAATGGTAACGAATGGTAGAAAACTTAGGCATTCTTTCGACTTTACTCACAAACTGTGGAATTAATCCCAACGACCGACTTTCTGTTAACCTCAGCATCGATCAAATGGTTCTCGATATTCTTGTTCTGTTATGTCTTAATAACAAAGGATGTTATTGTATTCTTTATTCCGTTAAAACTGACGTTTTGGCAGTATCGCCATCAGAGCCTGGAAGGGTATCTAGCCCGTCTTGTAGAGATTTCCACAACCGACTTTCTATTAATACCCTTCCAGGCTCTGAAGAAGGCGATACGGCTAAGACGTCAGCTTTAACGAAATAAAGAATAAAGTAACACCTTGTGTTTGCTCAGCAAGAATATCGGGAATTATGTGGAATTAATATTGTTGCTACAGATAGAGTAGCGTTTGCAAAGATTTCCTTAATGGCTTGTTTTCACCACTAGTTTCAATCATTACACCTGTTCTTCAGGCCTCGGTTCCCAAAGAGACGGCTATAGCCACTCATGCTGCCTTATCTGGTCTATCTCCTGAGAAAGAAAGGGGGTGATTGTGTTTTGATGTTTTGTTTTTTAGTTCTTATCCACCATTCACGTATTCATTCAGACTTCGTGAGCTGTATGATCGTCTTGACATAGATAATGATGGCACTGTCGACATCAGGGACCTCACAGCAGCTCTTAAACATGAGATGCCTCATATCCCAGCACGACTTGCTCCGGTTCGCCTTTCGCTTAGAACTGTAGCCATGGATGTAGTTTGGATTCTTTCAGAAACTTATGGCTCGTCTCAGTTCTGGAAGTGAGGAGAAGGTGGACTTTCGTGATTTTGTTAAATACGTTCTAGAACACGAGAAAAGGTTGGAAGTTATTTTTCAGGATCTGGACAAAAACAATGATGGTAAGTCATTGCTTGAACTGAATTGACCTTCAATCTTAAAATTATTGTTTTTTGCAATGTGAGATACTATGCCGTTATTTGAAATCATTCTAGCTGCTTTTTTCTACTGTTATATTTATAGTTGTTTCTAAATGCATCGTATTTTGTTAAGACCATTAATACTGGCGTGGTATTGCTTCCACAGTTTCTAAAAAATTTTTTTATTAGTTATACTTCTGCAGGATTCATTGATGTTCGCGAGATAAAGAGTTTCTGTAATGATCTTGGAGTAGCACTTGACGATAGGAAAGCACAGGGCATCGTGGAACGGTATGGTCTTGGATCTTGTTTGTTCTTTTTTATTAGTCATCTTCTTTATTCTTTTTTTTAAAGCAACAGTGCTACCTTCTGGTTCGAATATCACTAAGGACGTAGTGGTTACATTTCGTTGAGTCAAAAACAGCGGCCTGTTTTGATTTTTTTTTCACATTCGCAACCGTATGCGTTGATTTCCATGTCTGTGGCTAGAGAACTGGGCAGACTGGGCAATATGTGTTGAAATCACAATGTCTAACCTTTATTTACGGCTTATTCTTGTTTCATGGAAGGGTACTATGTGGAATACAAACAAAAGGATGCTAAAATGAGATATGAACAAAACTCAAAACCTCAGTTGGGCTTCGAACAAGCTATTGCCGTTACGAGCGGTTCACGTACTATTCGTTCACTCCAACTGCGGTCCTAGCTTTGCCTTTCTCTTAGGCTTTTTTTGGCTCTGAAAAAAAGGAATTCAGTAAATGGAAGTGGAAACATTGTGATTTCGACTACAACTTAAACTTAGCTGGTTTCGATGCCGATTAGTGGCTCCATTGATCATTTCCATTGGTGAGTGATTGCTGATAGCATCAATAGGGTTCTTACTACGCAGGTTTTGCAACGCGGAATTTTCTAGTCGTACTTTCTTTTGTTAGATCTGTAGCTTATCTATTACCATTTTTGTGACAGGAATGGTCAAAGAAAAGCTGCATGGTATAATTTATCATTCATAAAGAAAATCTTTTTGGATGGGCTTGTTTACTTTGTTAGCGAGATTGTTGTTCGCAGGAAGATTACTGTGACATCTTCACTGGCGAGGGCACTACAGAAGAGGGCTTTACTGCCTGAAGACAATGAATCCAACGAATCAGTAATGGTAATTGCTTAACGAGAGGTCATTTAAATATGTTGGATGAAGCAAAGTTTCATTGTCCAATTTGTTTTACAACATTATGTAACGGTGGTCATGTGATTTATGGTCAGGCGTTGGGCTTCAAATGGATCCTTTCTGTTTGCCTTTTCTGGAAGTATGCGCTGCCGTCTATGATGCATCCCATTGATTTCGCTATAGTACTTTTTTGGTGTGGTCATTTTGTGAAGATCCGAAAAATCGGAGTGATTTTAGCTAGGTGCCAATCGCGCCGTAAGCGTTTCCGGTTGGAGTTTAGGCTCTTTAAGGATAACTAATTGAGTTCTTTTTAAGCATTTCTCTGCGGCGAGGGTAAATTGTTGTAAATCAACTCAAGAGAGTAGTTTTCTATAAACCTTTTTGTGCTCCCCAGATCAATTCGGCTGACGGGTGGTTGCTGGTGGCACCTTTAAGTAGAAAACTGGCTGAGACAAACGCAGAACATGGGCCTCAATGGTACAGTGTGTAATACGCGACGCTCCGAAAGGGTAATCGGGGTGCGATCTGGCCCGAGGTCTAAGTTTTTGCGGTTTTTGCTATGCATATTATTCGGTGAATCCGTTTCACCATTGTAGTCCTTATCATATCTTATATGAGGTTAAGTATATTGCACCTGCACTCATTCAGTCTCTGTCCCTGTCGTTAGGCCCGATGAAGTAATTTTCGGTGTTACGAGTTGTAAATTATGTGATATCACATGTTGACTAGATAAACAGAAATTGAGCTTCAACAGCGACGTTGTGATCTATGCGCGTTGATTCAAACATATGTTCTTTTCGTCTATTTGTTCTTCGATACAAGGATTTTTGCTTTACTTTTCGTGCTCGTACGTTGGCTTCCTCCCAACATGTAGTCAGCCGAGGCCTAAGAAAGCTACTTTCTATGTTTAACAATTTACGAGGAACTACTTTCTTTGGACGAGTTTGTTCGTGTTATCTGCGCTGGCTACTAACACGTTCGTTATGCTAACACAGAACTTCGAAACTATCGGAAAGTTCATTGCTACGGTGGGGTAGTAAATGTTTGGGACTTATGGTGGTCGTAGTCGTATGGTTGAAGGCTCGGTGTAGCGTAAATAAATGGTTGTACAATTGCTAGTTACTTATTAACTAGGTGTTTAGCAATTCGCTTACACAGGGTTTCCTTAAAAACATGGTATGTTCTCGACGCTTGTTATCACAATCTTCTGTTTATGTTGTACAAAGTGTGCTGGGGAACTTATTTCACAACTTTGATTTACATTCGAAACGTAGAGTTTACAGTTCACGCATGAAATCACTTTTTTTTGGCCACTGTTGAACCAATCTAAACAATCATAATGGTGCCGAGATATTTGCAAAACTCTGTACCGCAGGTGTTTACGGTGGAGAACGAACGGGCCATTACCCTTTCCGGGGGCTAACACGTTCACCACCACACCACGCGGATCCTTCTCTTTGCCTGTCTCTCAAGTAGTTTTCCATCTACCAGTACAACCAGCAATCACTTGTCAACGGGATTGATATGGGGAGCCCAAATCGGCATTCAACCCCATTAAGCTGAGGCTGCAGTTGAAATCACAATGTTGAAGTTTTATTAGCTGCCTACCACAATTTTTCACGGCGAGGTATTATGTATAATACAACCATAATGATTCTGAGATGTTTAACTTGGTTCAATGCCGATTTGGGTTTCCCAGATTAATCCCGTTGACGGTTGATTGCTGATGGCACTGGTAGGTAGAAAACTAGCTGAGAGGCAGGCGGAGCAACCTCATCGCAGACACCTACGGTCCGGAGTTTTGCAAATATCTCAGCATCATTGTGGTTGTATTTCACAAAATACCCTGCCGTGAAAAATTGTAATAGGCAGCGAGTAGAGATCTAACAATCTAAACAATGATGCGTCTTATTGCATTGCTCACTAAACTAATTACTATGAAATTGTGGGAGAATTCTGTAGTTTGGAGCGTTTATCTTGAAACCGACTTTCATTAGTGTTGGACTTTAGTACGATTATTTAAAATTGCGATGTCTTGTGGAAATTTTATGGCATTTGGTAATGTTTAAGCCTGAAGAAGCATAAGAGGATTTTATCTACGTGGACTCCAGGTGTAACTAAAATCGGGCTACGTTTGGCCGAATTACAGACCTGTGACATTTAATCTACAGTATGCTTCATGATTATTAAAGAAAATGACATTTCAATGAATTCAGTTAGGTAATTCTTCATACGTTCAGGTGGACAATACGTGTTCGCTGTCGTATGCAAGTTTGGGTCACACAGTAATGTCAAGTGTTAAAGTAATGTTAATAACACCAATTATAATAGTGGTGTTAGCATCAGTAATAAGAAGCATTAATAATAATGAAAGCAATAATTTTGTTGTCTTAAGCAACGGCTGGCGTTACGTCAGAGTTCTGTTCTCTGATCATCTAAAGGTCACTTTGTTCTATGTAGTAGTTTTGCTTTATAGAATGGATCAGTCCGGATCGTCATCGATAGACCTTAACGAGTTTCAACAGTTCATGTTGTTATATCCTAGTTCGGACGTGAAAGATATGGTCGACTTTTGGCGTCATAATCTTGTGAGTGTCGTTTTCTCTGTGTTAATGTTCAAGGAAAAAGCTGGGAAAGAGGCAGAGGATGCCAAAAGGATGAGAATGCTAGAACATCTGCTAAACACTAGTTTTATAAAGTTTTGTTTTGAAAGGATGAATGGTTTCAGTTTTATTTCAGGTGATTGATTTAGGCGAGGATATTCAAGTGCCAGAAGATTTCACTGATCAGGAAATGACTTCGGGTGTGTGGTGGCGTCATTTAGTCGCTGGTGGTATTGCAGGTTGTATGTCTAGAACGTGTACGGCACCCTTTGATAGGCTTAAAGTATTTATGCAGGTCAGGACTCAAGGTTTTGTAGTGGATCTTTTCAAAATTTTGTACTGTTTTGCAAAGTATTTGCTTTGTTGTGATAAATACTGTTGTTTTAGGTGCATTCAACACGGACAAACAATTTAGGCGTTGTCTCTTCCTTGAGGTTGTTGCATGCTGAAGGAGGAGTTAAATCGTTTTGGAGAGGAAACGGCATCAATGTGATCAAAATTGCTCCGGAATCGGCGATCAAGTTCATGGTTTACGACCAAGTACCGTTTAGTGGGATTTTTAAACTTTGAAGAGTAGGAATTCTAAGGAAATTCCTTTTTTTTTTTTTGTTTTTTTACACTTAACTGCTATCGACTTTTTCCCGTCGATCGTTTCGCTTAATGTGGTAAAATTTCACTAGTTAATGGTAATTTTAATTTTAACATATGAAGTCATTGTTAAGAAGGGGTTATATACAAGAGTCTTAGTCACACCTAGAATCTGATTTTAGTTGTCACTCAGTTATATAGTGCGACAATAACGGTCGTTCTCAACATTGAACTAACGTATCTCAGCTCATAATAAACTTAGTTAAAATAAGTGACATTAGAATCCACATATTTTTGCTAACAAAATACAAGCTTTCTTATTCTACCATGATGGAATTTGGATTTCATGCAACCCAGAAATCATATTTTTAAGGCTTTTTCGTCGAGGGTCGTATTTCTAATGCGTGTGGCTTCTAATTCCATGAGGAATTTCGTACATTCAATTCCCCTTTTCAGTTTTTCAAAGTCTGTATTATGGCCAACTTTAAAGACGAAATAACACTTCAAAACCATATTTACCGTCACTTATATGGACCATGGTGCTCTCTATAAATCTATGAAGTTCTTAACTTTTTGAGGAGTTTAGTTATTTAGGAATTTTAAACCATTTTTAGAAGCCGGCTTAGCAGTGTTGATTACGTTTTAATAGATGCATGAATTATAGAATTTCTAAAAATTTTCTTTGTGGAAGATTATTGCTTCGTTTGGTGTAAAATCGTATGTAACACTGTATACCATATTAATCGAATAGTCAATTTCTTTGCATGCGGGTAGTTGGCGCTAAAAGGCAAGTGTTTCAATAGTCCTGCGCTTATAAGTTCTACCGTTTTTATCCTTAAAAAGCTCGTTTGAAAAAGTTCTTCTTAGACCTTTGTACTATAGATTAATGACGAAGAAGATAATTCCCATACTCCGCCAAAAAATTTCTGGAGAATAGCCTTTTTGCCGCTGTGTGCCGATTTTAAGACTTTCGAGTGTTTTTTTTTTCAAATAATCAGCTTATCTTTTGTCTACTTATCTGCGTCATTGGCTGCTATCTTTTTAAGTATATATGATTGCCGTTTCGATTTTCATGTGACGATAAAGCTGATGTTGAAATGCAGCGTCGACTGGTAGTTACTAGGAAACTGGGGGATTATTTTCTTGATATTTGAAGGGTTAACGTCAAATTAAGGGCTGCTTGTGGCGCAGTGGTTGGAGGCGCCACTGCAACGCACACGTGGAATTCATCGCGCCCATGGCCCCACCAAGTCTTCCATTCCTCCGAGGTCGCCATATTGGTACCAGACTTGTCTGGGAGGATAGCAGCACTGGCTCGATACATCAGTAAGCTGCCACGAGTCATTGTAGAAGCCAGATATACATTCAATCATCTCCAACAATACTTAATCAAGTAGAATGCATGGCGCATCCCTCGGGAATTGATCAGCGCCGAGAGCTTTATCCTTATTCTTTTTAACGTCAAATTTATATTTCGCTGTCTTCAGTTTTTGAGTACTTAGGATGCTTTGTTGATATCCAAGCAATCATATGTTATGCATCTCAAATGTGTACTTCATCATACCATGCAGTTAGATCCAAACCTTTCCAATAATTACAGTTCGATCAAAACATTAAGCAGAGTTACTGTGGTTGACGTTTCTCATTTAAGCTTTCCAACTTTTAGTGTAAGAGAATGATCCAGCAATATAAGAATGATGGTGAACTAACGATTATCGAGAGGCTTTGCGCTGGTTCTGTTGGTAATTAGTTTTATTCTTTATTCATTCTTCATTCTGTTACATGGTATTATCATTGTTTCTTTTTTCAAACTATTTCTTATAGCTGGGGCTATCTCCCAAACCTCTATCTATCCCATGGAAGTGTTGAAAACGAGGCTAGCGCTGCGTAAGACCGGTCAAATGGATAATGGTCTTATTCACTTTACACAAAAAATGTACAAAAAGGAGGGGTTAATTTGTTTCTACAAGGTATGTGAAATCCAGATGGCAGTGTACAGGTTCAATCTTATTAAGATTTAATTGTTCAAGAATTTCTGGCTGATTTCACATCACAAGTTCAAGTCATGATCCAGTCAGTGACTAATGTTTTATGTGAAATTCTAAGTACTTCGAACATTTGCGTTTCTCTCAACATGGTATACAAGATAAGGTCACTCTGATTTGACATACATCTGTATTTGTAGAATAACGTCATTCATGCAAGGCATTTTCGACTTTATTTATGTTGTTTAATTGTTTTCCCTTAAAGCTTTGGTGCTCATATTTGGCAAGCGAAAGCCAGTTGTAGCAGGAATCTATAAGCTTATTATATGAGGTGACTTAGTCATAATTTTTTTTCAAATTCAGTTTAATCTTTTACTACTCTTCATGTGTACTGCGTGTAACGCGGTGGTCGGAAGTGCCCTGCGGCACACACATGGGATTGATCCCTGCACCCGTGGCTCACCAAGGCTCCCAACGAACCCTCTGGGGTCGACAAATCGGTGCCGGATATGTCTGGGAGGATAGCAATACTGGCTCAATACATCGGTAAGCCACCGACTGTCATTGTAAATTCTGGATATGCATTCAGTCATCTCGATGATGCTTAATGAAGTCGATTGCTTGGCGCACCATCAGAGGTTGATCGACGCCGAGAGCTTTTTAGCTTTACAACCTTTCGCGAAACTTTTGTGTAGACGGTATAGCGGCATTGTATTTGTCATACTCGAAATAGTTCATTTTCTTTCTGGCTCTTTCTTTCCCAACACTTAGTTTTATGGTGAATTTTTGTATTGACTGGGTAACTTCACCATGCCAGATCTTGTACATGGGTTGAAATAGATGAGTATAGGGAACATTTTCTCCCGAAATTCGTTCTAACACGTTTCATATTAACCATATATTTGCCTTTGTTACTCCCGTCATGTAACCGCGGAATGATTTTTCTTGTACTCTCGCTAAACATCATCGAGTATTGTTATCATGTAGATGTGGTCAATTGTATTGAATCCATTTCGAAACCCTACTTGCTCACTTGGCTGTCCTTCGCCCGTTGTTGTGTGAATCTTGTTTAGGATGACACGAGTGAAGAGTTTATTGATGACAGAGAGCAACCCAATTGAGCCATAGTTGCCGGTGTCATGGGGGTCGTTCTTTTTGAACAATAACACAATCTTAACGGTTTTCTGTTGAACAGAAACTTTACAATCTTGCAAGTAACATGCGGAGACCCAAACCAGTGTGTTAATGAGGACTGACGGAAAGTTCTGTAGATGTTCACATCTTATCTTGTCCGAACTGTTGCTCGAAATCGTCTTGGTCTTTTAATTGGCGACGTTTCGGTCATCTTTAGGAAAGCTTTTCGCTACCCCTGCAGGTTTGACCATAACCGTTGCTCTTCTCTCTTTGCGATATTCTTTTGTCGCCTGTCTGCATTGCTAAAAGTTTGAACTAAATTAGGCGGTTAGCTGTGGCTGGTGCGATACCACGCTGGCTTACCATCTCGAACGTTTTTTGATACAGACGAGGTAACGTGACGGTATTGAATAAGCCGGTCGTATTCCTCGTGGATATCATCAATAACAGAATCTTCCCAAGAGTGGACTAATAATCTGAATAAATCCTGGTCTAGGATAGTTTTGTGACCTTGTTTTTTTTTAGTTTAGCGGATTTTCCTTCCCTCCGTAAGAAATTGAATCGTCCTGGGAGAGGCGATGGTCTAATACCGTGTAGAATTTTTGGACAACAACGACGTAAGTTAGGCAAAACCTTCCATTTACAATTATGTAGTCTATTTCGTCATGGTACTCTTCTTTTGGAGGTCCCTAGGTACAGCGTCGAGAGCAGGGCTTCTGGAACTGTGAGTTGCTATGAATGGTTTTGTCGTCATGAAAAACTCAGACAGCCACTCGTTATTCTCATTCGATTCTAATCCGTGGGTCTCAATATGGTGTTCTTCAGACGTTCTTATAGGTCTAGTAAGCGTTTAAATTCTACAGTGGTGACTTTGGGAAATGTGTTCTCTGTTGTACTCCGAGTCCATACAGAACGATTCGATTTCGTTTTTCGTCATAGCTTGATGTTGGCGCGTAAATAAAAAGATCGTCAAAACCGGTTTTGCTCACATCTCTTCAGTCTTAAGCGCCCAGTTCTGGTTGTTCGTTGCTCAAAGGATTCGATGTTCTGTGTCGACGAGGGCGTCATTGCCGCTAACTTCTCCGTCGTCGCATGTTCCATTGAGCAGTTTTTCCCTGATCTAATAGACGGCCTTACATGGACAGTGTCTTTTAGTCTAGGTTAGTCCGATGACGTTTCCTATTGTTTTAGCCTTCAGCTTAAGGTTGCATATGAATTTAGGCATCCTATAATTGCCCCAAGATTTTAGCAGGCTCTCCATTTGCTGCTTTATCGGATACTCGGTCGTGGTATGGGGAATCACGCTCATATAATTAATTCGTTTCAAGGAAGAGCGAGGTCGCTTGGTCAGCGTTTAAACCCTATCTGCTACCTGGTGACTTCCTACCTAGTATGTACCTTTAGAGCGATGGGGTAAATTCTTCGTTGTAACTTTGTCAACTTTTTATTTGGTCAAATTCAAATTGCTTAGACAAATTATAGAAAAATTGTCCGAAATTTTACGCAAACCAGAAAGGTTGTGGTTATGTTGGTTATTTAAAGACCATTTAGAAATGTTTTGAAAAGATGTACCCGAAATTACATAGTTGTCCTTATTTAAATGCATAGTTTCACACATTATGCCAGAAATTTCCGAATAGCAGGATTTTTTTAATGAAAAGTAGTACTGTTTCAGGGTTATGTTCCTAATTTGTTAGGTATTATACCTTATGCGGGTATCGATTTGGCTATTTATGAAACACTGAAAAAGTTGTACGTTCGGCATCATAAGGACAGTGCTGAACCCGGTGTGTTGGCGCTGCTCGCATGCGGCACATGTAGCTCGACTTGTGGTCAACTCGCCAGTTATCCTCTGGCACTTGTCAGAACACGATTGCAAGCAAGAGGTAGATTCTGATTGGCCATGGAAATTTCTCGTTTATAATTGTTTTTATATCTAGCAATTTCTGGAAATTCTATGCAACCCGACACTATGATTGGTCAGATCCGTTACATCGTCAGTAATGAAGGATTCTTTGGTCTCTATCGAGGAATAGCACCTAATTTTATGAAGGTACACGTGATGAATTAGCTTCCGTAATTGAATTTAAAATAATGAGGTTTCAGGTGATTCCCGCCGTTAGTATAAGCTACGTTGTTTACGAACACGTGCGTAAGCACCTTGGAGCAACAATGTCGTGAATTGTTGCGGTTGTGCATTAATAATGCTTTGTTTCGCAGTTTTGCTGCGTTTGTATATACGAATACTCTGGTGACTTAGCACCTCCTTTTCGGTTCTCATCTCTTCATCCACCACCAGTTGCCTGTTAAATCTTATGGCGAGCCTGCTTGCGTGTTTGCGATTTTTGAGATTTCCCAGTGTTTGGTGCTTGTGAACCACTACGTTGTCTATACTTCAGTCGGTGAAACTGTGTTGCATTAAATTATTGTTGTTAATCACACTCTATCCTTTTGCAATAATTTCTTCGCCGCTAGAATGTTATTTATCACTAAATAAAAGTGGTCAACTGTTGTTCTACTACAAGTCCCTCCATATATGTAGGTTATCGTACCGTCACGACTATTGTGGTTATACATCTATATATCCATTTATACATATACGTATCCATTTATTTGCTTATCTACTTATACATCTATATTTATCTGCAAACATATTGAATATGGACTTATGGTTTCTTTTTTGTTTCCAACCATCTAGACAGAAAATCAGTGGGTTGGTTGCATCCTAAATGTATTAGAATGGCTGGCAACTCGGTTATTGCATGTTGCGAGAAGAAGAGTTTCAAAAATTTTAGGGGATCAGTTAGAGTACATTGTTTCCTTCCATGTGTTTCATTCTCTTAAAATAGTAGTGAGGGTGCGTGTTGCGCAGTTGTCAGAGGTGCCGTGCAATGCACATGGGATCGATCCTCGAGCCCCAGACTCACCGAAACTTCCATCCCTCCGGGGTGGGCAAATTGCCACCAAATTTGTCTGGGAGGGTAGTAGCATTGGCTCGATACATTGGTAGGCCACCGGGAGTCACTGTAAAGGTCAGATATGCATTCAATCACCTCCAGCGATACTTGGTGAAGTCGAATACATGGCGCTTCCTTCAGGGATTGGTCAACGTCAAGAGCTTTACCCTTTATCCTTTTAAAAAAATTATGCACTATGTGCAACATTCGTGGTCATTCTTGCACTATCATCTGCCAGTTTTTTTTAAGTGGTCAAGCATTTATAAGGTTCACATTCGAACCATATTGTTCAGTAAGATGTCTACTATTTGAGTTATATTGAGGAGTTGAAGATCTGTATTGCGATAGCCGTTTTTGATTTCGGATCCAGTCCGTAGTGGTTCACCAGTTGTCGTAAACACAAATCAAGTGTGCTGCCAATCTGATTGTTGAAATAAGATGGGATTTCGGATAACTTCTCACACATCTATTGCAGCAAACACGCTCTGCTCACCCAGCATTCAGATTTGCACACGGTGGACACTGCAATTCGTATGATAGTTGCTGAAGTTATGTAGGAGTGGGCTACTATGAGGGCTGGTGTGTTCCGTTTACAGCTAGTGCAGTTTTGACCGTATGGAGTATAATTCTTCAGTGCCAAGATTGTATCTCTGACTTTATTGAAGCGAACCATTTAGACGACATATTTGTTCTCGGGCACATGCAGTCTTTAGACGTTGCGAATGGTTCTTCTAACTACTCTGGAATCGACCACTAATGGTGCCCTGTCTAACTTAATGCATAAAGTGAAGTGTGAATCGATTTTCACTCACGTAGAAGTGGGGACGGACCAGCCGATGTGAATTGAACGTGTGCGGCGACGAGTTATGCTCTCAGTTAGTTGCACTGGTTGTACAGAATTAAGCTTAGGTCTGTATTAATTATTTGTGTATCTCTCTTTGTAGATTTTTCAAGCACGGACTTTCAGACTTTATACTTTTACTGTTAATATGTAAATTAGGTAACCATGTACTGCATCGTTGTTTGCAACGGCTTCTACGTCTGATGTCACTACGATTGATCGTTATAGTTATTGTGAACACAGATTGCAATTCAATCTCCCGACACGTTGCTGATAGAGGGCTTGGTTAGCCCAGGAAGCGGGAACAACCATGTGCATAGCAGGGCGGGTCTGGAACATTGAGCTACACGAGAGCTCGTTGTCTTCGTGCACGTATTTGTTTGGTGGAAGCGACTATGAACTGAATTATGTGTTTCCCAGAGGATTGTAGTGACTGAATGCGCATCTAGCCTTTACAGTGACTCTCGGTGGCCTACTGATCTATTGATCTAGTGCGGCTATCGTCCGGAACAAGTCTGGTCCTAATTCGCCGAACCCGGTGGGATGGAAGGCTCTGTGAGTCTAGGACGCGGGGATCGATCCCATGTGTGTTGCACGACGCATCTGACCACTGCGCTACACGCACCCTGAATTAACAAGTCTGCTTAAATACAGAAACGTAAAAGATACAAGCAGTCGATCTTTGAGTTCACCTGCAGCTTAGGAAAACGGAACAGTGGCTTTTTGTACGCGTTTAACGCCACATGGTTTTGCAAATAATTGACTGGAGTTCTCTTAGTTAACATTATTATATTCATATATACATATATATATATATGTATATATATATATATATATATACATATATATAAGACGGTGACTGCAGTTTGTTCGTCCTTATGAATGCTATCGTACTCCCTACTACACTCTCTGATGAAGAACGTGCACTGAAGGAAATCCAGGAAAAGTTGAAGCAAATGGTAGGTTGTACAAATGAGACCCTTTTGTTCACTTCGTTTTGCATTTTTTAGCGACGACTGATTGGTGAACGAAGAAGCTTAGGAAATAGTGATGTTTTGAAGATTGAACAAAGTAAAGTTAAGAAGTGTAAGTTATAAGTTTGTTATATATTCAAGCTTTCATTTCAAACTATATTTATGTGCAGCATTGGAACAAGCGGCAGTCGCTACTGAAGAGCTCAAGCGGAAAGTTATTGCTGGTGCTATAACTGTGAACAAAGTAAAAGAGAAACACACGTTCAAACGATCCAGGGTTGACAGAAGGCGACGTACGGCTAGTATTGTCGAGGAAGGCGAGATTGTCGAGGTATATGTTTCACTGTACCTGGTCGATATATTGATCTTTTAGCTTTAGAGTGTTTGTCAAAAATGAAATAACACTATTACTGGGAGCTTCAAGATATTTATTATGAGTCATCTAATTAAGGATTCGATGTATTGTCAATAAAATTACTGGTATCGATAGAGGTTTTTAGCATATGTTATTGTCATATGAAGTATATGTTAGTTATTAGTTCAAGGATATTCGAGTGTTCTTCAGAAACTATTGTTACTTACTGATATACTAGCTAGTTTATTGAAACAATTCTTTTGAAAAGGTCACCGCGAGTCATTGGGAAAGCCAGATATGCATTCAGCCACTTCCGGCGATGCTTAATGAAGTCGAATGCATGGAGCATCCCTCAGGGGTAAATCAACGCCGAGAGCTTTTTTATCCAATATTTCGTTTCAATTTTTTATTCCTTGCTCCAGCGCGTTGCAATAGTGTGATTCGCAATCAAAGGGGAAAACTTTGTCTCACTATTTTACCAGCGTATTCATACTTTCATTTATTTGTTTGCAGCCGTTTTCTTCTGCAGAGACGCCCATAACAACTTCATCTTCCATCGATTCAGGTTTTTTCTTTTCAGTTCACGAAGTTACAGAAGTTTTTAACTTAGAAGTCACCGAACAGCATAGTCATTTAAATGCTGTTTTTAAAGTTGCTTACTTGACTGTTGAATATCGCATCTTTATGAAGAATCATTAGGGCTCCATGACATTTAAAATTAATTGGTGTGCTATTTATTTAGCGAGATTTTTTTGTGGTTCCCAGAGTTCCGTATCAGAATACTGTCATGTTGTAATGACTTGCCAGACCTTTACCCTTGTAGATATAAGGCAGGTTTCCACTTTTTGTCCATGATTCTTTCACGACTGCTATACCTATCAGATTAGGTGACATTTCCATAGCAATGAGTCCTTCGCTATGCCTTGTATTTTGACGTCAGTTAACAGTCCTGTCGTCAAACAATAAGGATAATGTAATAACTTTCTACTTATTGCCTATTCTTTTTCATGGCAGAGTATGGTGTAAAATATAACAACAACGATGCTGTGATATTTGCAAAATTCCGGGCCGCAGGTGACCATTGCACAAGTGAACACCTGCGGTCCGGAGTTTTGCAAATATTTTAGCAGCATTGTAATAGAGATATTTTGAATGTCTTGAAATTATTAAAGATTTATTAGGCAAGTTGTATTACTACAGAAATTCTTACAGCTAAGTGGTAGAACTAACAAGAAAAACAAGAGTATGTTTTTTGGATGCCACGAATAAGCGTTTAGAAATGGATTTCCATTCATAGATTTTCAAGGTTCGCAAGCTTAAATATTAGCTGTAATTATTTTCGTGACTTCGTTATATCCCCATTTGACCTTTTTTTTTAATAGTAGTACTTTAGATAACTTTTTTGAGCTACCGTTTCATCTGTTTCTTGTTCAGTAGGTTCCGAAGAATGTCATTGGTCAACAGTCCTAATCCGAGGATATCACTTTCAGGTTTGCTTCTATCTATTCATCCACATGAAACTGATAACGCATAAAATTTCAAGCTTTTTGTTATACCCAAAGCTATTTCAACATTTCTATTACTAGTTTCGCTTCTGTATAAACTAGGTTTGCTTTCATTGTAGAACATGTAACTTTGATACTTACTTGGATACTTGGATGGCCCTTCTTCACTGGTTGTGCGGGCCCTAGCATAATCTCCATTCACCGGAGATTTGCTGGCTTAGCCATTGTGGTTCCCTAGAGTTTCCAGGACAGCCTAACCAAGGCCTGCCTCTGGTCGTCACCACCACAGGTAGTCGCAGCCTTTATGAATCAGCGAGATTTGCCACCATGCAATCAGTTTGTTACCATTACGGTGGTGGTTCCTGGTATTGGTTTACTCTTAGCTGAGCTTCCTGATGAAGACGCCGGACTCCTTCTTAGCTTTGAAGACTTGCCGGAAGGATGAATCCTCCCTCTGTACATCACAGCCCGACACCCAGGAACACCTCCGAGCCACGAAGAGGTGGTAAATCGTTGAGAGGAGAACATCTAGTATTGTTCTAATTGCTGAGTTTCTAGAACTACATGCATTTTCGATTAGAACTGTATTTCACTGCGACGCACACATTATTTCTGTGTTCATTATCGTGGTTTGGGTCAATACATGCTTTAACTGAAAAAAGATGTGTTTTGTAAAGGACTGCAGTTTTGGAACTCTAACGAAATCTAAAGTTTCGTTGGCTTAAATAGATCCAAATTTTCAGCAAACTGCAATAAATTCCCCAACACTTAGTGATAGAATTTGAATGAACTTCGGAGCTATACAGATGATTCAAGGTTAACAACGACGAGTTTATTGTTTGCTTCTTTTCAGAAGGATGAGGTTATTCAAGAATTTGGGAAATTCGGTGATATTTTAAGCACAAAGATAGACGATGGACAAAAGTAGGTCCTTGTTAACTCTACTTGCCTTGCATGAGTCATAATATGATTACTTCTCTTCAATCAATTTTTAGAATGTGCATTGTGCAATTCAGAAAAGAAGAAGAAGCTCTTGCAGCCGTTAAGGAGGTGCCAGTTCATTTCTGCTTATTTAAGAAAAAACTTAGCTTATTAACAGGAGTATTAACTTTCTATTATAATTAGTTGTTCAAAGTAGTGTATGAGTTAAATGTAGAAAATTCGCCTAGATTTAGGGTTAAACGGCAAACTAATTAGTCCTTTTAAAGATTCAAATGTGTAATTTTTTCTGGTGGATTTATTTACCAAACATCGTAAGTTTTCTCTCTTCTGGTAGTCGTTTTCTATTCATTACTATTTAGATGAATGGAAAAATGATAAATGGACTAACAATTGAAGCTTCCGTTGTAGAGCAACATAACTCCCACTACAGTGTTTGTTGACAACCATGTACGATGAGATCTTTTCTTCATTCTTCTTCACGAGGTTTTTCCTTTATTTGTTTTCTTTTATTTTCAAATTTAAGGACCTTACTTGAAATTCCGTTGTAACACTGCTCATCTTTTCTTCTGACTTCTTTGAATTTATATCTCATGTTAGAATTGTTTTCGTTATACTCCTTTCTATTGAATTGAGGATATTGGTGCTTACTACTTCGAAGATATTTTCCCACATTTTGCACGAGCCCTCGATCTTCTATTCGTTCTATAACCATTATCTATATAGCTTTTCATGTTCGTTCCACCAACTAAGTAGTGTTTGTGGCTATTAAAAAGGGATGCAAAGACAAATATGAACTAGGAGAGGTGAATAGACAGTGCAAAACACTTTTAAAAAACGTCAAGACATTCGCAATGACACGCATTGACTTCAATGCATCTATCTGTGCGGAAAATAGTTGTTCTCCTTAATGTTTCACGAGGAGAGCTGGGCTTATATTGGGTATTATTAATTTAAATGGAATTTACTAAAGCACAAAAATTATTTTATTCCAATAGAAAAGGTCTTATTTTTGAAGTCTGTGAAACATTCAAGTTTTCATCGTATTTTTGTTGAGCAAACGCGAGGTGTTACTATTCTTTGTTCACGATTAATCTGACGTTTCGGCGGATTTCGCCTTCCCTTAGAATTTCCCTTCCCTTTGTTATAACAAATTTATCCAGATTTAATTGTCGTAAAGCAATCGTTTTTACGCATCTCACATTCTATTTCTTTTGGAGTTTATAAGACAGAATTCCAACATTTAGGTGTTCAGAGAACTTGGTGGAATTGAAATGGCATCGGATCTCTCATGTTAAGTCCTTATATCTTAGCTTTCGAGGAATGTGAGCAGTCACGTTTATGTACGTCATCCTAGTGACACTTCACGAGCAACTTTCGAACGACGTTTTCGTCAGTGAAGTTTTAACTATTTTTAAACGTTGCTTAGGTTGATTTTGTATGTTTTGTTTTTCACTGCGAATTTTTCCAAATAGCTGTTGTAATGTTATCCCTCTGTCGCCAACTGTTTAACGCAGTCAGTCGGGGCAACACGTATTTATTTTTCCCAGTTTGTTTCTTCATGATTGTTTCTTTTACAGCACAAATATTTTTCGTGATAGTTTTGTGTTGAATCGATGGTTTGTCTGCCTCAGATTTTACATTTGCGTGGCCCGAAAAAAGTTGTTTCCACACATCAAACTTTACAAGAATCTGTTTTTCGTGGGAGGTTGCTCGTCTCCATGATTTTTCCTGCTTGCAGGTAGAGTGCTACAGACTCTTGCTTCTGAGAAAGGTATTAGCATATACACCACTGCGTGACACTATTGCGTTCACGCCTCTCCTATGGTTCACAGAAGTTCTTTACCGCTTTTCTTAGATTATATGGATTCAAACAAACACAGATCCAATGTGAGGACTTACTTACTTGGGTACTCACTTGGACGGTCACCTAGATGGCAAACGAAAACTAAGACGAAGCACCCCACTAGGCACGCATAGGATACAAAAGCATCGCGGAGACGATTTTGAAGTGAAAGTCAATATCCTTGCACAGGAGTCCAAAACACCAGCGCGAAAACTTCTTGAGGCTTTTTGGATAAATGCCAAAAACCCTACAATGAACAGCAGGGACGAATGCCCGGAGGTCATACGCGACCTGATCCCGTATGTTCGCATCGATTTTTGATGTGGGATGGTGCAGTCGTCAACCGTATGCGACTATAATCAGCTGTTCTAATCTTCCTCAGTGTAAGTCACGTTAAAAGCGGTAGGTTTTTCGAGAAGCTGTTGATCATGTGATTACCATAGTTCTTCGTCTTTTTGTAAGTGTTATTGAAGCGTTTGGCCTATTAGATTGCATATCAGTACACCCTTCCAGGCTCTGAAGAAGGTGATTCTGCCGAAACGTCAGCTACTGTTGTATTGTAATGTGTTTCTCTATGGAAGTAAATGAACGCTGTATAACAACTTCGCTATTGTTGAACAAGAAAACGACGCAGTAATATTCCAATGCCGAGGTTAATAGAAAGTTGATCCTGAGACCCATCTATGTTTCGGTATCGATATATATTCTCCTGGATCGCGAATATGTGACAGATTTCGAAGGTCAGAGCTTCGGATTTCGACTAGATATTGAGAGTGCCAGTTATATTTTAGAAGACATCGCTCAAGCGCTTTGTGAGTAGTGCAAAGTGTTCTTGACGTGGTTGAAGTATCAACTCACGTTTCTGCAGCATAACAGCGCTGGGAGGACCGTAGAATCGAAAAGATGAGTGCAGAGTTTCGTGTCCTTCAGTTGGTCGGTGACTTCTTTGAGAGGCTCTAATGCGGCCCAAGCTGCTCTCCTTCTTCCACCTAGTTCCTCCTTCATGTTGTTTTCCGTGTTCATTGATGCCCAAGGAATAAGTACGATGTGGTCTCTGCAATGAGAAAGCCATCTAATTCAATTTTTTCGCCTTCGCACCATGGCTTTTTCGTGAACTGGGTCTTCTCTCGATTTATGTGCAGTCCGATCTTTTTCTCCGCTTCGTTGAGCTCGTTGATCATCATCTTTGCTTCGCTAGTACTTCTTGAGAAGACGATGATGTCGTCGGTAAAACGAAGGTTTGATAGGAATATTCCATCAATACGTATGTCTTTCTCATCCCAGCCGACTGACTTCATTATCCACTGCAGTGTGGCACTGAACAGCTCTGGCGATATTGTGTCGCCCTGTCGTACCCCTTTCCTATGGGTATTGTAAGAGATCGTTGGAAAACCTCTATTTTCGTAGTGCAACTTCGATAACAGTCGGACAGAGTCCTTATGTAGGATGGGTCCACTCCTTGGTCGACGAGCGCTGATAGGATTGCATTCGTTTCGCCACTGTCAAACGCTTTTTCATAGTCGACAAAGGTTAGGACTAGAGGCAAGTGGTATTCCCGACAAACTTCAGTGACCCTGGAGACGGTTTGGATGTGTTCCATGCAGCAAAACCCTTTTCGAAATCCTGCTTGCTTGACTGGTCGTGCCTCATCCAATGTCCTTGATGTGCGCGAGAGGATAGTCTTTGTGAAGAGCTTGTGGAGTACACTTAACAAGCATATGGGACGATAGTTACGAAGATCGCTCCGGTCTCCTTTCTTGGGCGACCGTGCGTGACGTCCTCCACTGGTCTGGGATTTTTTGCTTTTGAAGGTAGGTATATGATTTGAGAGAACTACATGTAAATTGTGGCATCCATCTTTAAGGAATACTCGGTATTATTATCGGGTCCTGGAGCTATGCTTCTTTTCATGTTTTCTATCGCAACTCGAACCTCCTTCGGAGGAATTCCAGGTGGTTTTTCTCCAGCAAGGATATTAGGGTCCGGGACGGGGATTGTGAAACGGAAAATGTTAGTATAGAACGTTTCCGCTATTAATTCTATATAATGGCGGGAAGTTTTGACGGTCCCATCTTAGTTCGTCAAGGCTGGCAGCGGAACATTATTATCACACAATCCAGACGGCACTTTTCCAGACTGCTTCTTTTCTCTGCTGCTTCCAGTGGTTTCTTCTGCTTGTACCGTTGTAGACTTTCCTGCAAAGCTCTTCTGCAGCTGGAATTTATTACTAGCCAGGTTAAACGTGTTGCAGTAGGATCAAGCCTCAGTTTCCTTCTCTTTTCGAGCAACCCCTTAGTAGTGATGGGATGATGGGGGTGATGGGGATGCGATCCGATCATCTTACTTGAGGAACTGAGGCAAATTTGGCACAGCTTCTCAGGCCTCCGACGAGCAGCTCGTAGTCTTCGGTCGGGTCTTCTTTAATCTGCCAGTCACGTTTGGATAGGATTTGGTCCAGAATGTTCTCGTTGTATACAGCTAGATTTTTTCCTTATGGTCAATGAGAGTTCTTTTCCAGCTTGCGGCTGAATCGAATATTCGCGCGAAGAAGGCGGTGATCGGAACCGGTACAGAATGATGGGTCTGCCGATGTGTCAAGTAGGCCCCATCTTCCGTTTATCAGAATGTGGTCGATCTACGCGTGAGTCATTCCGTTAGGAGACTCCCATGTCCAGCCGCGGCTTTATTTCTTCTGGATAAACGAGTATCCATGGAAGAGACGTGCTGCAGGCAGGAGTCGTGGAAGACAGTTCCCATTCCTATTTCTTTCTCCCAGTCCGAAATTTTCGATCCTATATTGGCTGTTACTGGCCTTTCCTATTCTGGTGTCGTAGTCTCCGACGACAAATTTATGATATGCTTTATCATTGCGGGTAACTTCCTTCAACTGATAGTAGAACGCATTTAATTCGTACTCATTAGCTGCGTCGGACGGTGAGTAGCAGTTGATGATAGTGATCTTCTTATGGTGCAACAGTTGAAGGTGGAGGACGGTTACGCGAGGGGAAAGGGTCACGTGTGAGTCGACGAGGTGGACAATGAACGGGTGGACGACAAAGTCTACGCCGCCGATATTTCGTGACGGGACCTTTTCTCCACGGATCACAAGAGTCCCGTTGTTTAGTTGGCCTATGTCGATCTTCTCGATTTTTGTTTCTTGTAATGCGATCACATAAAATTTAATGCCAGCGCTGCGGCTACAAGAAGGGTGTGAAGATCGGCGTATGTGGAGAGTGTTCTAGCATTATAAGTGCATAGTAAGAAGCGATATCTTTGGCGTGTCGTGCGTATGTTCATCAGATCCGGTTCCAATGGCGTATATCGTAGCCTAGATTTTCTGGGCTCTCACCGGTCGTCTCACCGCCTAACGTCATAGACGAGAGCACCCAGTGTGCGGGGTAATGAGGCTGCCGTATTGTTGGTCGTGCAACTAGGTCCTCCCTGGGGTCTTGACTTAACCTTGTAAGGGCGTATCCAGCTCTTCGCCACGATGTGGATCTGAGGGGCGTGTGTTTTCGGCGACGAATCCTTCGCTCGGTCTTCCTACTAATTGATTTGGAGAGGTGTTAAAACCAAGATCAGAAACGAAAGTGGGAATGAAAAAGCAACCGATCGCTCAAGGGCGATGTAGAAGTCGAATCCTCGAATACAAAAGACTTAGATGAAAGCTAAAGTTCTATTACAACGAGGTCAGCGTATTATTATGTGTTTTTGATCTGTAATGAGCACTGGATCATGAAAAGCAGCTTTGTTACCCAGTAAGTCACCTAATTAGGTTAATATAAGAGATATAGATATAAGATCCACTAGGTTCCCTTGCTGTAGAAAATTTATCGTATAATGTCGGAAAAATCAGCATTTGGCGTGATCATATCACGGACGGGTTCACGTTTTTTTTTGGCAAATGAACGTTGGTCGTGTATCTGTTAATACATCTGTGCTATGCTTCGACGCTTATTTTCGACATTTATCGATACATTACTACTATAAGGTGCTAAAGGACTGAAGATATGTTTATGTATGTGGCTATGGTCTTGTGTAACACTGGCCCATCTATCTCCGTGGTCATTGTTCCCCGCAACATACAAGTGTTCGTTGATTCGTTCAAACGCCTAGGCTAATCAGACCACCATTCTCTCTCGGATAGGCTAGTTGGGTCCAGAGTCTGAAGTCATATACGCATTGATTCCATGCATTGGGAGGCTTCCCCAAATCATTATATATACTAGATATACCAGTAATAGACATCATTCATCACCTCAACAGTACCTGGTGGAGCCGGATGTGTTATAAAGCATACCTCAGAGATTGATCGGTAAACGCTCTGTTCTTTATCCTTTTATGTGTGGTGCATTTGCTTGTGCAACATTGTTCATCATTATACAATCTATCTACATTTATCATTCATGGTTTGTATTAGTTTGTTTTTGTATGCAGGTTTGTTTGTATAAG